TGAGACCAAGCCGGTCGATTTGATGTATCATGTGTGGGTGCTCGATCCTGCTTGGACAGAAAATGGTTGAACATTCTCAGCCAATCAGAGAGCAGGAGTCTCTTATCAAACATTGCGTAGAATCCTTACTAAAACCGTAGTTAAGCTCAGCAAAAAAAATGTACTTACGCCAAGTACGTAGGTTTGTGATATTTCAAACATGGAGTACGCACAGCTACACGCAATCTCCGCTTCATAAATCAGAAACTATCTAGAAAGGTTCTCAACTACATTTTAGTCACATCCCGCCCTCACCACGCCCACTTACTGCCATAAGCAGTCAATGCAAAGTGCCTTGTGGATCTCATGCATATACATAAGCCGGCTGTTGCTGCGCTCCGCTGATGACATGGCGACCGTAGATCAAGGCAGATCAAGGAAGCGCAATTTCACAGAAGCAGAAATTGAGGTACTTGTGGGTGAGGTGGAGAAATAAAAAGGACATGTTTTGCAAAACAAGTAAGAGAAAATCCACGGAGTAGCACAGCATTGCTGAAGCCGTCAATTTTGTGAATTCTTCAGAGAGATCTGTGGCGGATATAAAAAAAAATAATTGTCCAATCAGGATTCGATCCCCAGACTCCCAGGTGGTCATCTGTGTGAAATCTTGTGTGCCTACCATTAATGTTCTAGAAGCTATGAGGAGAACATTTCAGCTATCTGTCAGCCACAAGAGCCTTTTTATAAGAGGTTTAAATGGAGGAAAGCTGGCACAGTCCTCGACACATGTAGCACAAAAACCATAAAACTTACAGGAAAACAAAGACAGCACTTCGAAGCTGACAAAATAACCCACTGAATTGGAATAAATCATTAGTGTATTATAAAAGATGTGGTCAGTGGAAATTTTTGTTTCAAGATTTCATAAATCAATCATTTAACAGTGCTCAGCTGCTCAGATGTCATTGCAGACCTCAAAAATGTTTTTCCACAGGTTTAAACAGCCAAATTTTCATTAGTCAATTTTTTACTTTTTAGCAGCTTTGTATTTTATTATAAAAGATGTGAGATTGTAGTCTCCTGTAAGGATACTTTACAAATGTATTTTACGTGTTTTATGTCATTTTCCTCTATTTCTTTTACAATATATACACTTTGTCTTCATAAGTGTTCACTTCATGTCATAATGTAACATTTGTATTAAAAATTCTAAAGGTAATATTCATCTCTTTATGTCGTTCTAGGGTTATTTCATTGACTTTCAAATTAGAAAATGCAATAAATAATCCAACTAATCACCTTTTCCCTAAACTGGATCCTCGGTGTTGCAGACGGAAATACTTGCATGCATTACCATGTTGAACCACTAGATGGCAACACACGGATTGTTTACGTGACGACGTCACGACGCTAACGTACCTCTGCGTGCAGCTAAAATCCCGACAACACCTGTACCAGCTCCCAGCTCTATAACCCGCTTTCCTCTCAACTCCACTGACTGTTCTTCCAGGTAACGACACAGGTGTAACGCCTGGACACACACATAAATGGACGTGATACTACACAGCCTTCCCAACAAATGTCCACGGATTAGTCACAGTCATCCACAGCCTTACAGCTTCCCAGACCGGAGCAGCCACGCCGAGGTTGGCGCCGAACACCTGTTTTATCCGCAGGTCTTCGCCCATCAGGTTGTACACAATGTCCTGAGAGAATGTCTCAGTAAAGAGACAGTCCTCCACAGGGAACGGGTCCTCCTCATCTTCAACAGAAGTCATGACCAAGGCTCGATAAACAAAGCCGAAGAAGTGCTACTTAAATATAGCACGAGCCGCCTGGTGAGGCTACACTACTTCCGGTCCGGTCAGCTTCCAGAGGAAATGTTTCAGCGGACTTCACTTTATTTTCACTATATTTAATGGTAAAATATGGAATTAACTGATCATCCCGGTAACGTTCACGTTATATGCTCTGCCATTGGATAAATCTGTTAAATCACAATAAGGATTAGCATCATTTAAGATGAGCGCGGCTTTTAATTTGAAATAAAACTCGTTTCCGTTTTTAAAGATAGGATCAGCTTTCACAAGCAGCTTGCCTTAAAAGGTATGTTTCAAAGTACTACAACTTTAATTATATATACATACTTTGTATAATTGACAATGCAGTTCCCATAGAGCACACAGAACATGGCATTTCAGGTTTATTTTTTTTAAAGTCTCCTTAACTGCTTTACTTTGAAAATCAGAGCATTTATATAGTACCACTAGGACATAACTTGTTTTCTCCCATATAGACAAAACTGCACATCATTGACAAAAAGATGATTTATCAGGTGTATAAAGTGGAAAGTTGAGTACAGATAATAAATCTCTTCATTCCTTATCTTCAGTCTTTACACAACATGTAGCGATGGGACAAAAACGATATTAATAAAATTATTAGGCATTTAATTGTCTGCCTGCATCGAACAAAATCAGTTTTCATTCAGTGAACAACTGTTGCGTTCATATTAGACATAATCTACTCAATATACAGCAAACCTACCAGAAACAGAATACCTCTGGATTATTTATCAGAAAATAAATAATTCTTTATATATAACATACAGGTGACAGTAGTAACATCATAACACAGCACCCCCTCATCTCAAGCCTCAGTATGTGCAAATTGCAACAGGATTAAAAGGTAGCACTTTATGTAAAGACCATGGAATTTAGTAGTGTTTTTAAAATAAGCACTTGGGAAAAGTGCATCAAATGTGAAGCCAAATTTTAAACTCATAGGTGGATCACAGCTACGCACTCAGACCAACATGGAGCATCAATAACCGAATAATTGGTATTAAAGTAGCACATGAAAATAAAACAAGTGGTCCTCTAATCTGAAGTGTTTTGCTACTAAGTGGCTATTCTAAGTGTAGCTAGAAGATCCCTAATAAGACTTTTTTTTAATATTTTCAAGAACAAATACTGATGTAACGTTTAGGTGACAGTAAATTAGCAGTGAAACTGCACCTGCTGGATACTGTTTTTCATTTTGTTCACTCTTCTTCCCCACAGAAACTAAATCTATTTCATTTTAGACGGAAACGATTCACCTTCATGAAAACAGAAATCACAATCGGTGCTTTGATTAAGCAGAAGTTTTAACATCGATGGTCAGACAACAAAAGGCTTCTTTCAACTCAAACGTGTCGACTTGGTCGAGGCTCAGCAGACTTCTAGCACTCTTAGTTACCATTTGATTAAAAATATATATCTTAACCAGACTGTTTTTTGTTTTTTTTTGTTAAAATGTAAGCAGAGCATCTCCACGCAGCTTGCAGAGCACCAGAAAAGACGTAAAATTCTTCTTGATGCTTCCTGGTGGATATGAAAGGCAGAAACGTTTGTTCGGAGCAGAACTGAGTCCAAGTCCACATAACACAACAAAAACACTCAGACAGGCAACACAAGCCATAGGAATGGATTATTTAAACTTTGTTCCAAAAAGAATAATAATTAGAACAATAACTATAACAAAAAGGATTAAAATGACCAGCATCTTCCTGTTTTTCTTCTGATACTGCTCCGCCTATAAAACAAAACAAATAGAGAGAAAATAATGTCAGATTAATGATATAAACTAATAGCTCACTGGAACTCAATCTTCCTGCTTTACAAGAACATTTCTGCTCATCCTTGGCAAAGGAAATCCATTCAGGTCAGTGAGAATTACATATTCACACGAATCTACTAGGTTTACCTTTTGTAACTGTTTCAATCCATCATCTGTTTTCACACAAGCCTGCTCCACGTTAAAGTCGATTCTGTCGAGGACAGTGCCCTTAAAGAGAGAAAACAAACAAAAGACATCTGTGTGTGGATCCTTTATTTTCTGACAATTATCATCGTTATTGGTTCGATGGTATACTAAGTACCTGCTCCACCACCATTCCAGCCAAGTCTCGGAAAATCTCATTGAGATCTGAGATGGACTGCACTATTTGTCGGATCTCCCTCTCTCGCTCTTCCACCATCACAGAGTTCTGCTCCACCAGCATCAACTGGTCATCTGTGAAGCCCTGGAAGTTCAACGATCAGATACTCAAGTTAAAAACAAACATTATTTGAGATAGAAACCGGAGCTACATAAAGGGCGACCACTCCTTCCGCCATCCTGCTGTATTTCGGCAGCTGAGCTCGGCTGGCACTGGCAGGCAGCGTCGCACTCACACATGGCTTCTCACACCACTTGTGGTGCATTCAAGGAACATTGGAACTCTATGATGAGTTTGATAACGTAGCATATTTAAAACTTTTATTAAAAAAACAATAATACTGTAAGACAAACACCTCAGGTCATTGGCAGTTTGCATGTTATGTTTCTGAATACTAAATATGGCCTGCTTCTTTTTACATTAAAGTACTAAAAACAACAAAACCAAACAATAAAAAATATATATATTATCTGTTAGGTCAATATATAGCACTGAATCACAACAGAATACATCTCAAGGCACTTGAAAACTACAAGAGAAAATTCATTTTAACTCAGTCATGCATACATTCCTATCAATTTAATATTTTTGTGTTTACGAGTTCCATTCTCTTCAGACAAAATAGAAATATTCCTTCCATTGCTTTGTGCCAACTTTCCTTGATGTTTTAAAGGCTGCCGTTTTATATTCTATGGGGGTTTTATTTTAATAAAATCTATTTTAAAAAATTTAATTTTTTTAATAAAATGACGCGGGTTTTATTTGATTTACTCTACAAGACCGGTTACGTCATCACACAAACCAGATGACATCATTGCGTCGTATGCAAATTAGCACGTGACGTCATCTGGCGGCATCTAGCGACTTTTGGGGGGAACTTCTGCTACTTTCAGTCAAAAACAGTTGGCAACACTGTTCGGGTCCTTTCTTCAGTCTAGTAGTGGTGGCAGTTAGCCACACATGTGCCTGATTTCTTCATTTATTAAAATGTTTAATTTAAAATTTTTATTACTATTATTTTTTTAAATGGCTTTCAAAAATTATTTCAGCCGATATAGAAAAAAATTTAATATATCGGCAAATGGTTGGCCTCCATTTTGGGAGGCCTCTCACCTTGTCATACAGAGCTAATTCTTCATCTTCTTCCATTAATGGCCCCGAGTCAAAAAAGTGTTTGGAACGCTCCTCACGGTTCTTCATACCTGTCATGTAAACACGTGTATGGGGCAATAAAACAACATGAGAAGGAAATCCAATACCCCAGTGACAGGATGATTAGATGACATTAAAGGATTAAAAACTGCTTTAGGATGAACTTCAGAGCTGTTCTTACGTTTTAGGTAGCCAGACTGTGTGTGTCTGAAGTTGATGGAGAGGTCCTGCAGGCTCTGAGCCAGAGACGACACCACGTTTGTCAGGAGTCTCTCCTCCTGCTCGGTGCAGTGGCCCCGACGGGACTGCAGGCTCGTCACAGCTCGCTGGCATCGATGAAACATCTGTAGGGAACATTAAAATGATGAGCCTGCACAAACAGATCCACAGCAGATCAGACTACGGCTGGGATATGGATCAACAAGCTGTTTTACTTTTTCTTTAGACTGAACAGCTGGAAAACCCCTGCTCATATACAGTGACACAGGTAACAGAAAATACCAAGGACATAAACAGCATAAATGACTTAAAATATGAAATAAATATCTGCCATTTCTAGGCCATCAACCTGAATCCAATTCAGTTAAGTAACAAAAACAAATTCCTAAAACACGTTTCACGCCCTAAATGTAAAAGGTTTCATGCCAACACTGGTTACTGGCTGCACCTGCGTGATCTCCTGTGTAGTGATCTCTATAGCATGCTCCTCTTCGCTGCTGTCATCCAGAGTGGGACGGTTCATGTGCTTGTCATGAAGCAGAGCCAGGTCCTTCATCTTCTGTTGGATTCGTGTGATTTCATACTGGATCTGAAACATTAGAGTAGGAAAATGCATTTTATTCCAATAATGGACAATCTCAGAAAATATTTAGCTCTTTGGTTTGCACAGCGTTATGGAAATGTTATGTTTATTAATGAATGAATTAATAAAAATGCTTTATACGCGGCTCATCCCTAGCTGTAACCACCTTGCCCTGCCTCCTCCTCCTTGCTGCCTGCCGGCTGTGATCACAAGCAACAACAGAGTAGTAGTTCCCGCTGCTTCTTCGGTAAACAGTGTAAAAAAATTAATTAATTAAGTAAATCTATAAAACGGGATCTTGCAGGTGTGGCGCTGGGATTTTAGCTACGCCTATGTAAGGGAAACACCGGACCAGATGTTCAGGGCATTTCGTCTTGTGCATTATGTCACAGTTATAACTGTTCGACTTGTCTGTTCATTGTCTTCTTTTTCTTTTCGACTACAGGAAATGGGTTATTGATAAACATATTGATAAAATCCATGACACACAGTTACAACTCCCAATAGAAAAATGCACCTTGTAAGATTTTAGCATTTCTCTTTGGCACCACTAGAGAAAGCACTTGTACCACAAGACGGTGGTTTGAGATCCGCTAACAGAATGTATTCAGTTCATTTTCTGTTGGAAACATTTTTCTGAATGGACACAAATGTTGCATTTTACCTCATCGACCCCGTCTATCCATTTGGGAGGCAGTTTTTTAGTGACACCGATGGCAGCTTCAGGATCCAGACTGAGGCCGGACACCAGAGCCATGCGGTCATCAGCCATCTCAAATAAAACAAAAATAATTACATTGAAGTGTTTTATATAACAAGATAACAGTGTGACCATGATCCTAGATGTTATGCCTCCAGCAGGAGTTATTAGATTGTGACGTGAAGAGAACTAACAGTACCTCATCAAGCTCCTAATGTGATTGTCAGAGAGCAGAGTTTCCAGCCAGCACAGAAACACGAAGACAGGAAATAAAACGAACAACAGATTAAGACCCCGAAAATCAGCAGCAATCCCCCCAAAACAGTGTTTCTGTATTCACTCCTAGCAACTGAAGCTAATGTCAGATCAACGGTATTCACATATGAACAGCTAGTGTAAGTACAGAAACTCTGACACATCGAAACTCCTAAATCATTTTGTGTGAGCAGCAGCAAAATTAGAAAAAGTAATCCAGACTGGATTAGCTGATGAAAAGTTAAAAATAGATTATTTAATTCATTAATTAAAATCCTAACAATCCATTTTGGATGATTACGTCTCTTGTGTGAAAGTATTTGGATTTTAAACAAATAGAACTGTTGCTTTCTAGACCATTTTCTGGAGTTAATGCAAAATTTTGACTACCGGTACTTAAAATTCACTGGCTTAGAAAAAATTTTGTTGTTTTTTTTTACTTCTAACAGCAAAACAACTACCGTAATAGTTGTCAGATCTGGAAAAACTGAGTATTAAACGTTAAATTTCTGATTTTTCTCTGGTAAATGGAAGCCTTTAAACTGAAAGGACTTTCTCATATGTGTGTGATATCTGAGAAACACATACATCTACAAATATTCACAGCAGAATGTGAATGGTTACGTGTTGACTACAGCTCTGAGCTTCTAGCATGACTTAAGCTGTATTTTCAACATCCAGCAAGAAACCATTTACAGAAAATCTACTAAATGAATTTTTGCATGTTAGTCCTTTCTGACGCCAGTCTCTCCAACAGGCTTGTTATTTTCACAGACAAGGACCCGATTGTGCTAACAAAATGACATTAAAGAATGTTTTTATCAACAGCAGGAAAAGAATGTCAACTTTTGAGTATTTTGGCTCAGCTTTGCTTTTTCTATTTTTATGATTTTACATGTAGCGAGGTAGTATTTCAAGGTTAAAAATAAGTTGATTAGATGCATATTTTTTACAAGTTTTTGATCTTATTTAAACTCTTGGTTAATTTCTGTGGTGATTTGGACTAATTAGATCTGGTTTGTTTTTGTTTGCACCCCCAAGTGTTATTGTTTTGTCTCCATGTGTGAGTTGATTTGGGAGACGGTTATTTCAGATAAATAGTGTGAATGAAAAGATCCCGGAACTTGCTTAGATTAATAATATATCCGCTTCAGATGCATGTCACAGACAGTTTAATCTAAAATAAACCACAGCACACGTTCTACTAATAAGTAACATACTCTTTATGTCTTCAGCACCTTATTTTAGTTACTATTTAAAGTTATTTTTCTGGTAAGTATTCTATAAAAGATGTTTTCTGCAGCAGGAAATCTGTCCTCTTCCTCATCACCTGAAGGACTCATCCATCTCTTCTGAGGTGAAACTAGAGGCCACATAAACACTGACAGCCCATAATCCGTTCAGATTATTATAGGTCAGCTATTAGAACACTGGTGGGTCTAGCTAGGGGGGCTCGGTGACTGGCTACATGCAAACACACACAGTAAAATGTCAGAACGAAGCAGACCACTCACCGCAGCATTGCTACGTGTACTCAGACGGGGCTCGTTTGTACTCACTTGCTCAGCCAAAATCTGCCGGTTTTGGATCGCATTGTTCCGCATTAACAAGAAGGCATCGGTCAGACGCCTAGTGGCCATGACTGGCTTGCTTGAATTTTAAATTAACCCAGGACAAAGTGCAGGTCAAATGATAAATTTAGCTAAATAACGTCCACTAACGCCGCAGCGGACTTAGCTTCACCTGCGATGAATGAGGGAAAACTCGCGATAAAACGGATGCTGTGGACTTCAATCGAGCTGAGTCACAATGATTTGTTAAGCATGTTTAGTCCTGAAGTAGTGAACGCTGGATAAAACCGAGAATTTCATGAAAAAGGTTGATTTGAAATCCAACTGGTAACGTTATTCCGCTTACAAGGAGCTACGGAAGTGCTAACGTAAACATCTGCGAGCGTAAAGCGCTTCTTCTACGATTTATTAGCCGCACTGTCATCAGCAATGGAGCATGTTATCGCCCCCCACTGCCTCAGAAAATCCATTATATTTGTGATTTATTATTTATTCAATGTGAGTCTATGCTATTTTGTTTTCTAATTTTGTTGTATTTTTGTTAATTTATTGTCTCCTCGTGAGACTCAGTTTATTTTCCGATGTAAACTTTTTTATTTAGTAGTGACACCTCACAGACAAAGGAAATCAATAAAATATATCAAGATCGATCGCTAAATTTTTAAAACATGTTTAAGCTGAACAGAGTAAAAAATTATAGTTCAAGAGGATCAACACCTTTTTGATTAATGTCTTTTGGTTATTGACTCAGCCAACTATAGAAATAATTATAATAATTTAAATAGCTGTGTTTTTATTTGGTGTGTAATCATAACTTTTATGTTTGTTTCAGCCCCCTATTGTGTGTTAAATGAAACACACAATAATTTTAAGTAAGAATGCTTGTGCAACAAAGTAGTTATTTATTTGAAAATTTTTTTGAAAGCACAGATACAAGCGGCCAAAAGATATTTCTCTGTAAGGTGGTTGGGCTTTCCCTTAGAGATAGTGTGAGAAGCACAGTCATTCCGGAGGGGCTCGGAGTAGATCTGCTGCTCCTCCACATCGAGAGGAGGCAGTTGCCTCCTGGACGCCTCCCTGGTGAGCTTTTCTGGGCGGGTCCAACTGGGAGGAGACCCAAACGAAGACCCAGGACACGCGGAGAGAGTACGTCTCTTGGCCTTAGGATTATCCCAGAGAGGGAAGTCTGGGCCTCTCTGCTTAGGCTGCTGTCACCGTAACCCGACCCTGGATATGCAAAAGAGAATGGATGGATGGATTTGACATTTTCTTTCTCTTGAATGTAGAAGAGGTTTATAGTAGTCCATACAGCCCTGACCTAAAAGCAAAAAAAGCAACAGGGTGTGAGAGTGAATGTGAAAACAAGCAGAGTCAGGGTATTTTGATTTCAAAGAAAATCCTGGGGTAATTGTTAATGGAGAAGAAATCCCTTGGAAAGAGAAGAACATTTGTGACATTGAGCACAAGTCTAAACATGTATAATTATACATATGAATCTGATAAGGAGCTGCCAGGCATTAAGGGGTTGTAAAGTACACATACTGAACTCAGGCAGAGAGCTGACAGAATGGAAATAGAAATAAAACAACCAAAGGTAATTCAACAGGGATTGTGGTAAAAAGTGTTTGTTACTGTTAGTCTGCTGTGTTGGTTCAAAAATAAACAAAATAAAAAGGGTATGTACAAATATGGGGTGCTAATAGTAAATGTAAATTAAAGGTGAAATGATAAATAGCCTGTGTCCTTCTGGTTTCCTAGAGCTCCCCAAGATGCTTTACAACAGCATTGCTCACCCATGCTTACATTCACACTGGTGATGATGAGGAGACACTTGTAACCACATCAGCTCTGGGGTGCACTAGAGGTGTGGCTTCTGTACACATTAAAGACTAGCGTGTTAACCAAAGACTGTGACAGAATGAGCAGGGACACAAACTGGCAACCCTATCAGGTCGCATACATACAGCTACGTAACTCCTCTGCCACCGTCACCTCCATAATAGCAACTTTGTTTGACCATATCTAGCTTCAAATAATGGCACTAAACATTTTATTGTCATTATTTTTATTGAACTCAAAATATTTAATTAAAGTTTCACCCGAACCTCTCAAATCTGAAGTTATATAAGTGAAATTTAAGCGTAAATTAAAACACTCTAAATTTGCATGTTAGCTTAACATTTAGTCTAAAACATTATATTTATATTTAAACTTTTAGATTTATCTTGATTCAAAATTACATCTTATTATTGGCCTATTTATACAATTATTAACATAACATTAAATGGGAAAAGCGACTGATATTTTCACAATCTAATTTTAAAAGGAGCCTAATGTAACAAAATGTAATTTTTTAATATTCTAAAAGTGACCAAATGTAGCTAAAAAATTTTAAGAGATTATTATGTTACAGAAGATCCCCCCCCCCCCCCCCCCCCCCCCCCCCCCCCCACACACACACACACACACACACACGGTGCTATTTGTAAAGTCAAACAGTTAAAACTTAACTGCAGTATTTTGGGTTATTTGGCCTATCACAAGAGAAGAAAAAGAGGAGTTATTTTTCTAAGTCATTTTTTCACCATATTCATATTAGGGGCGTGTCCAGCAGGGAGTGGCCTCGGGTAGCACATGCCACCCTTAGAATCTGATTGGCCACCCCAGGTGTCACCCTACTAAGTTCCAGTTTAAATTGACTTTACATTGTCGACAAAAGGCTTTAGTTGTAAACTCCAAAAATAGTGTGTAGTAGCATGCACCTTTAACAGTGTCTTCTAGCCCAGGCCTACAGAACATTTCTGTAGTATTAATATTATTTTTTCATATTCACATAAATAGTATTGAGTCCCACTCAACTCCAGTTGGTGGCAATAATGCAATAAGAAGTGACTTGCTAACCACCACAAAACTAGAAGATGAATAGATAAAATTGGTGCAATGTGAAACTCTTAAATTCACTAGAAAGTAAATAAATAAATAAACGATTTGTGTAAGTAAATAAATAAATAAATAAGCATAACCATTGGTGCCACACATGCATAAACAAGTGCCCCACATGAGCCACCCCGTTTTAAAAGTCCTGGGCACGGCTCTGATTCATATATTTGTAAAAGTGAAAGTTCCCAACTAAATATTTAGTAAGCAAACTAAATATTCAGTTTACAAACTGAATATTTAGTTTGTAAAATAAATATTTGATTTATTAACTTATTATTTAATTTGGAGCTAAATATTTATTTAACAAACTAAACATTTAGCTCCAAATTCAATATTTATGTTTGACTTATTTATTTTATTTATTATTTATTTAATAAGTTAAATATTGAGTTAACAACTAAATATTTAGATCCGACCAATGTAGTTTGTAAAATAAATTAAAAATGTAGCTTTATAACTAAACATTTACTTGGGAACTTTTAAACTATGAATAACATGGTGAAAATATGACATTGAAAAATGAACAGCTATTTTATTTTCTCTTATGATAAACTAAACAACCCAAAATACCGCTTATACGCGCGCGCGCACACACACACACACACACACACACACACACGAACACAGAGCTTTTTAATTAAAAGTGAAGACAAATGATGGGTAACCCTGCTCAGAAGGAAGCAGCGCGGTGTGCGTTTGTTTATGCGTCGCGCGCAAGCCGGGCAGGGCGGGGTTGTTGCCACTAACTGTAATTATGTCGCTGAAAGCTCCTCCTCCGTTCATTCTTAATCCCCTTCACCACATCCGCTAATACTGCGTCTGAAACTCGTCCACAAGTAGCAGGCTGCTACCAGCAGCTAACACACCGCAGGTCCGGGCTGTCTCCTGCCGCGTTTGGACAAGTTTCACCGACTCCTTCTGTGGCCCGTGGGACAGGTAAAGACTGGGAGGTGAGTCCTCTTCCTGTTCGAACACCTGAGTCACAGCGAAGTCTCGGTAGGTTTTAAGGACACGCCAGCCTGTCAGACACTCTGAGCCCACACTAATCCCCTCTGATGCTTTTAATAGCTGATTTATGATTTGTAGAAGACAATGGGAGGTCACAGTCTGCTCTAGAAACACAAACTCTTCTATTTTTCTGTTTATGCTCCACTATAAAACTGTTGTCTAATAATGGGGCAACTTCAAACTCTCATTTAGCCTGTTCTCCATTTAACTTCAGGTTCAGAGGGTGCATTCATCACAGGAATGATGACAAACCAGTTCTTCTCCAGTTTCAGAACTCTCTTTCCACATTTATCCTGAGCTCGTCCTCATCCCTGTGACGTGTCTGCTGTGTTTTCTCCTGCAGCTGATCAGCATGGCCTCCTCCGATGATGCAGGATCTCTGACTTCTGTGGATTTTATCCAGCTGCAGCATTACATGGAGGGTGAGTGCTCCTTGGAACTCACATCATGAGTTCATTTGTGTACCTTCGTTTAATGAGGCGACCTTCTGGGCACATTTTAATACGTCCTTTTGAACATTTTCGTCGCTGTTAGTTGCTAAATATGAAATCAGCTGATAAAACATGTTCCAATGTTGCCGATTACATAATGTCATTCGTTCTGGCTCCACCAGCCGCAACAGGTAAATGCATCATCTTTAATAATGCATTACTAAACTTCTCATGCATCCTGCTTATACTACATTCATAAATAGTTGAAATAGTTATTTTTTTCAACATTAAAAGAACTAAATACTGTATGAATAATGAAAAAAGTCTTCTATTTATTAAGTTTTATTGTAAAATGGTCTGCAAGGAAAGACCAAGATAAGAACTGAGGTGATCAGTATGATAGTCGAAGTTCAGTGAGAACCAAACCAGTTCCCACACCCTGATCTGTCAGATTCTTCCTTATTCACGTCAGTCGATCACATTTCAGCCCACCGTAGTTGTCGAGTAACGGAGATCAGCTCTGTAAGAACAGCAAGAGGGCGAGTGAACCATAAACACAAAAACACCCCTCTAATGCATCAAGTTGAAAGTATAAGAGCATGGCGGCGCGCTGGGATCAGCGCTCATGCTGAGTTTGATGGACGCACTGACAGGAAATAAAAAGTGGCACTGCATGGGCTAAAAATACTCAGTCCATTTAAAAGCTTTGAAAGAAATGAAATGGGTTTGTAGGCTTTGAGTGTTTGGGGGAGGAGGGTATTTACACGCCGGATAATGGAAGAATGGATAATTACATGTGCATGTGCTCCGGTCTTGATCTGCAAGAGCCTCTGCTGTCATTTACCTCAGACGGCTGTGCTCCAAGCTGCATGTGAGGGTTAAAACACAGGACATTCATCCTCTCACCTAGAGTCCTGACTGCTGTTTTAGCCTGTCTCTAATCTTTTCATTCACTGAGTCACCGCTGATGTTTCCCCTGCAGAAAGCAACCTGAGGGTCAAAGATGTGATAAAGGTCTTTCATCCAGGAGGTCGTCTGGCCAAGCACACTCAAGGAGAGGTAGATCATGCTAACTACAGAGAAGCTACAGTAACGGACATCTGGTTTTCTAATAAGAATAAAAATTTCAGGGACCATGTCTAAAACACTAAACACTAAAATAGTCATGGTTTCTCTAGTAGTTTTAATAAAGTATAATAAAAAATCTTATTCTAAATTACAACATTTTCATTTTAAAGGAATGGTTTATTAAGGAAGTTCCTGTTTAAACTGTAGTCTAGTGATGGGAATTCCGGCTCTTTTTAGAGAGCCGGTTCTTTTGACTCCCAAGTGGCTCCTCAGATTTTCTGTTGCGTAAAGTATATTTATCACAAAAAATGATGCAAAACTATATGTAAAATGATTTACTCGTGTAAAAAAAAGCAATATATGAAATATTTATCATTTGTATGGATTTAATAACCGAACACTTTAAGAAATCTCAACTTTCCGACTGCTGTCGCTCATTTTCTCACCGTCTTCGTCGCACTCTCCTCTCTCTCGCTCGCCTTTTTCCTCCTCCTCATTCCCTCTCGTCTCCCTCTGCCCGCATGTGCTCTTCTGTGTGTCTGTCTGAGTCTGATCCTCCCTCTTCCCCGCCCCTACTGCTCTGTGTGTGGACAGTCTGGACACGCAGTTTCACATGTTGACCAATCGCATGTGGTTTTCACCAAAACAAGAGAGGGGGGATGACGGCTCCCAATGACGAGCCGGCTCCCGTTGTTCACTTCATAGAGCCGTTCGTTCGCGACCGACACATCACTAGTAGTCATCATTTATATACAGCTCACTTAATATGTTACATGTTTCTGAGCTCAGTAATAAAACAGGAGCAAAAGTTTGAGGAAATCCTAGAAACTTGTTCTCAACAGGATCATTAAATGCAGCCAGTAAAGTAGGGGCTGTGTTAGCAGGCTGGTGTAAAGACAACACACACCAAAGAGCGACAAACATCAGCAGCCAGTATTGAGCTCCGTGACTCTTCTTCTACACAACAAATCAGTCAGAATATGCTACATCTTCATTCTCCAGGCAACAAGGCTCCATCAAGCAGAAATCTGGAGTTTTTTCTCAGAGGACACCATCTAGAGGTGGTAAGATGTATTACACCTCTAAACCCCTCTCCCTACTTCCGTGATTATGGCTGGAAGCAACGCTCATCTCTAGCTGTCCAACAGAGCTAAAAACACATTGTTTTACACTTTTATTTTGGTGTTATGTTGTTTATTCATATTATACTTTAAAGAATTACTTGCCCATAAGAAATTTTGCCAGCTCTGCATCAGTTTACGTACATCCTCAAATGCGTGGGCATGCTCTGAGATTGACGCCTGTGCAGAAGTGGATGTTCAACGCTGTTGGCTAAGGCTGAACAGCGCTCTATTCAAATTGCGTGGGGATCTTGGGGGGGGGGGGGGGGGGGGTATTGAACATTATATCACAGCACAGGGAAAGACCATCACTTCTATGAATTTCCAAGTAATACATCATTCCTAGAATTGGGAAAACTCAGGATTGCTCCTTTAAGTTTCACTAACACCCTTCTGGACAAGAGAAACAGTTTCATTTCATCATTCATTCTTTAAATATCTAATATTCTGAGTTAGAATTAGTAAATAAAGTTGTCCCTTGCTTGATTACTGGCATAATTCATATATTTGATGATGAAAGTTACATTCACCACTTTTTTCATTGTATTCTAATCAATATAGCGTCAAAATAATGCAAAGTCCACTTAAAATCTATGATCATTTATTATTTCCAAAGACATTTTATTAAAGCTTTCAGGTGTTCGATTGAAAATCCCATTTGCAGTAAAACAGAAAGTACCAGTGGGTGATCCTGTCTCACTGAACCTTTCCTCCCCTTAGTGCCTCGATGCCGTGGGCTTCTGTCTCTTCCTGAAGACCTACCTAGAAATGGAGGACATCCCTGCAGATTTCTGCCAACGCCTTTTCCGCTATTTTCAACACAAAGAGCAAGATGAGTCCTCAACAAACCCTGTGCTCAAAGGAGGTACTTTATTTTGAAAACCCTGCAGCCCTTTTTGTGCCTCGCACTGCTGCAGTGATGTTTAGTAGGAAAGTCTTTTCTGCCGTCTTGCTTATCTACGAGTGGGAGCCGCGGGACTTCCTGAAAGGAATGCTACAGTTGGCTCAACGCCCCCACCTGTTTGGTTTCCGGTGGTTTTGAGGCATGTTGCAGGAATGTAGGTGCAGCTTTGGAGATTTGGTTCACCTGATCCAAAAACAAAGCCATAATGAAATGTGTAGAGCTGAACTTCATCTGAAACCAGAGTCCTGCTCATTTGGGCTCATGTAACACAATAAAACCGTGCAACATCTTTGCTTTTTCAGATGTTGTGTTTCTTCAGGATGTGTCATGTTACTTCTCGGTTCTGGAGGAAGGACAGCCACAAGAGAAGCTTGAATGTTAGTTCCATCCACACCTTAAATCTACTCTCATCTCTGATAATCCACCATAAACGTACAGACCATCGCTGACCGACTCTGTTTGGTTCTAGTTACCTTTAAACTATACGACAAGGATGGGAACGGCCTATTGGACAGCTCTGTAAGTCGTTACAACAGATTACATCTCGACTGTGAATTTTACTATCAACAAAATGTCAGAAAACACCTCTTACTTTAAAAGCATCTAACATATGTTTCACAAATCATGAAATAACGTTCTAGTGAACAAGAATGTAGTTATTTGTTAACTTAAAGCTTTTATAAAGCATAAATCTTCATTAACTCTCCTTAACTCTTCATCACACACTGTTTTAAAACCAGGTACTCTTGCTTGACTTGTTCTGCTCACAGCTCTACGCTCTCTAGTTCTATAGCTCATCTTCACACCGATTGAGATGATATGATTACCCTTAAACTTACGAGAACTCTGCTGTCTCTCCTCCAGGAAGTGGATCGTATTATCAGCCAGATGATGCGGGCTGCTGATTACCTGGGCTGGGACGTGACTGAACTCAGACCAGTATGTGCTTTTGGTTATTTTACAGACTAAAATATCCACACTCTCATTATGTTACTTTCATTTCTGTGGAGGAGAGCACGCTTAATGTCATCTACTACGCCTGTGTGATTTTTAACAAACAGGTGCTGAAAGACATGATGTGTGCGATAGACGTGGACGCCAGTGGGACTGTCACTCTGGAGGAGTGGTTGAAAGGAGGCATGAACAATATTCCTTTACTCGTGCTTCTTGGACTGAAGGTGAACACAAAAAGTAAAAATCGTTCTGCCGCAGAGAATTTTTGTTTTATTTACTCGTTATTTTTCTTTTGTGCTCTCCCTGCAGATGGCAGAGAGGGACGGGCAGCACATTTGGAGGCTGAAGCATTTTAACAAGCCGACCTACTGCTGTGTGTGTGAGAGCATGCTCCTCGGCATTGGAAAGCAGGGACTCTGCTGCACGTGTAAGACCTCGCTGCTGCCACCAGGGGGCACTCGTGCACCTCGTTCAGCCACACTGGCACGAAAAAGCACATTCACGTGTTGTTGTTTTTTTGTTTTTTTTGCATACTTTTTGTTTAATCAAGTCTTTTTTAACATGCATAAGGAAGTCATTATGTTTGTCTTTTTCATGATACACGATTTTTCTTCTTCCAGGCTGCAAGTACACTGTTCACAACCAGTGTGCCAACAAGAACCCTGAGCCCTGCGCTCGCACCTTTGTCAAATCCAAACAGGAAATTGGTGTAAGGAACACAAAGATCACTTTTCACCTGCACTTCCTTCAGCCGGCCTCGTCCCATTTCTGCTTTTCAGATTTACGATTAAGGTTTTAGCTAAAATGATGTTATGGACGTGTGTAAGAGAACGTGTTTACCGCTCTTCTCTTTTTTCACTTTAACCCACCCATGACCAAATGACAGTTAAATGCTTTACAGGGAACACTACAGTGCATTAGTGAGTAAGTGCAACCCATCAGTGTTTTTTTAAGTGCGGATTACAGCTGGCGCAGTCTGCTCCGTACATCTGTTTAATGTCCTAATTCTGCACAAACATAGACAATGCTCTGCTCAATCTCCCTTTCAGTGTCTGACGTCAGGTCCACAACTTACACTTTTACAACATTTAGTAGTGGATCACAACCGTGAGCAGACTCAGTTTCCCTTTGCTGTAAGCCGCTGTTTGGGTACCGGCATGCTTAAAGGGTATTTTATCTGGAGATGCCCATCTGTCATGCTGATGTTTACTGAACATACGATGAATCCGAGGCCGTCTCTGACCTCCACATCTGCTTTGGAGAAGAGTGGGATCCGTGCTGATCATTTTAAAGTCAACATTAACTTAATTCCTTCTGCTCTTATGCAGAAATGGGTTGTTTTGGCTCTCCACTGGAAAACAAAAACAAGTCAACAAAACACTTTTGGACATAATTGTGATTAGGAGCATTTAGGAGAATTCTCCAAATTCAAACTGAAATAGCAGTAAAGTTGTCTGTAGGTAGTTTGTGTGGGATGATGCCTCGTCTTTGTTCCCCGTGTGCTTCAGAAAGCCACTCATGACTGGATCAAGGCTGACTGTAACTCCACCAAGTGTCAGGTCTGCTTCAAGAAGATCAAAACCTTAGCAGGGAAGTGGTGTGTGTGGTGCCAGGAAATGGTAAGAATGTTTTTTATTTTACGGTCATGCACATAGAAGGATGGTCCTGTTTATGATCCATAAATCTGGTTTATTTTAAAGCGTCATGACGACTGTGTCATTCCTGGGGTACCGAAATGTGACTGTGGGCCTCTGAAGGACCATATTCTGCCTCCCTGGGCCATCTACTCCGTCTCTAAGGTAACTGTAAATGAATATATGTACACAGAGAACATTTTTACATTTTAGGAACAGAAATAGTTTATTGTCTGTTGGTTTCCTGTTTGCTGCAGGAAGAGGACACCAAACTGCTGAATGTCACTCCTGATGGTCACATCCTGCAGGTCTGCCTCTACTGAACCAAACCGGCCTAAAACCATTCAGTCCAGAATTTATTTGGTTTCTTATTTATAGATGCAACCATTCTCATTTTGAAGGCTGGTACTGATTTCCAGGTCTTGTACTGCTCTGACCTATGTGATAACCATTTTTTGATTTATCTTGATAAATTACAATGAACAGATTTTGAAAACCAGATTAACTTAAATTATGATTCTGTAATTTCAAACATTCACCTGAAAAGTCAGCCATTACTAGCTTGTATGTGTGCTTAGCGATGGTGAGTTCACGGAACAGAAGAGTGTCCGATTTTTTAAGGCTGCTGTGCAATGGTGCATTCATGGATGGAAATTAAAAGAAAACATTTTAGAGTTCCAGATCAATCTGTTCATGCATTAGATCATGAGTAAATCTTTTGGAGTATTTTTATTAGATTTATTTTCTGCAAAACAGGTTCATAATTTACCTTTTGCTGTAAGACTGTCATAGAATAAAAATCATATATTCAGAACAGACAGTTGTATTGCAGTTCTCCCATATATGTGTTGAATTTGCTGCATTTCTGCGTCACCTGACCTGATGGATCCTGCGCTGTCATGTGTTTTCCAGATTTCTCCTGTTCCAGACACACATCCTTTGCTGGTGTTTGTAAATCCTAAAAGTGGAGGGAATCAGGGTCAACGGTAAGAGCAACACATATATTGTAGTTTTTTAGAGGTAACTGGACTTGTCTAGATGTTAACGAAGTCTTCCTTCTCATCTGAGTAGTTCTTTCAATAGTTATACTGATCCTTGCAGAAAGCTTCCAGTATGAGAAGCAAAACATTTTCAAAAAACAAGAAAAGAAATTCTAATCTAATATTTTTGCTAAAAAGTTGAGAGATCAAGAGTCTGTGTTTTCTTTCAGAGTGCTCAGGAAGTTTCAAGGCCTGCTGAATCCACGTCAGGTTTACAATTTGTCCAACGTAGGTCCTGCTCCAGGGTAAGGAATCTTACAGCTAAATGTACGTGGTCAAAAGTTCCATTTTATCAATGCTGACTTTCTTTTTTAGGCTGCACTTCTTCAGGAATATGCTTCAGTACAGGATTTTGGTGTGTGGGGGAGACGGCACGGTTGGGTGGCTCCTGGATGCTATAGGTAACACTTAGCTCTGATCTGCAGAGAGGACATTGAAGCAAATGTCAGTGGAGTCAAATGATATCAAATTGATGTTTCCTCAGACAAAGCAGAGCTTAAGGTGTGTCCTCCTGTTGCCGTCTTGCCACTGGGCACTGGGAATGACATGGCTCGCTGTCTACGCTGGGGAGGAGGTACAGCAGCTGGACATTACCTCTAATGAGGAGTTTAACTCGAGTACCTGATGTGAACTCATTAGGTGATTCTATTTCTGTTCTAAATCATTAAAAGGATACGAAGGGGCGGAGCTGACAGAAATCCTGAAGGAGATTGAAGCTAGTGAGGTGATCCCTCTGGACCGCTGGAGCTTTCAGGTGATCCCAAACAACCCTCAGGAGGTAGAAGACCCTGTTCCTTATGAGATCATCAATAACTACTTTTCCATTGGAGTGGTGAGTCACTATCTCCGCTGTGAGGACGTCACACGATTGTTTACCGTCTCTTTTAAGCACGGACTATGATGTAGAGAAAATTGCTTAATAGGACTGTGTGTGTGTGTGTGTGTGTGTGTTTATGTGTGTGCATGCGTGCAGGATGCTTCTATTGCTCATCGCTTTCACTCCATGAGAGAGAAGCATCCCCAGAGGTTCAACAGCAGGTGAGGAGTTTCTTTGATGCCCTTTTACTGTCGACACACATATGATGTTGTCAGTTGGCTGCTTAGACCCTAAATAATTTCCCAAACAAACTAAATGAGAAATGTTCTTTTTTTTCCATTTTCAAGAATGAAAAACAAGCTTATGTATTTGGAGTTTGCTACTTCTGAGTCCATCTCTGCCTCCTGCAAGAAGCTGATCGATTGTCTGGAGATTGAGGTGGGAGTTTCTTCTTCTGTCGTCTGCTCGTTTTTTTGAACAAAGCCTGATTAATGTCTGAATGTTGTGTGTGATGATAACAGTGCTGTGGAAGTCCGCTCAAACTGAACAACAGGTCATTAGAAGGTATTGCTATCCTCAACATACCCAGCATACACGGAGGCTCCAACCTATGGGGTGAGTCCAAGAAACCCGATAGTCCGTCAGAGGGTCGGCGTAGCGAGGTGATAACCGACCCCGAAATTCTCAAAACTGTCACACAAGGTGAGATTTGTATGTGCGCTCCCAAATCAGACCGCTACATATAACCTTTTATGATTTAGCGAAATCTTTAAACCTGCGTGTTTGTTTTCTCCTCAGAAATAAGCGATAAGCGTTTTGAGGTGGTGGGGCTGGAAGGAGCCATAGAGATGGGACAGATCTACACCAGAATGAAGAACGCTGGGCACAGGCTGGCACAGACCTCCCAAATTACCATCAGGTCCTGAGCGAAACTCACAATAATCAGTAAATCAGTCACAAACTATAAATCAGGCTAGTTTACCAAAATCCTTCTAATTAGATGAAAGTTTATTTAAAAGTATTTATTTATTCATTTTTTTTTTTTTTTTGCTGCCACAAGCTTTACTTAGAAGTGATTAAACATTTATCTGGATTATTTTGTCTTTTTAAGACACTTTACGATTTATTATTATTTTTTGCTCGCTTGACTTATTGTATGAAAATTAATCCTTAGAATTTAGATTCAATCGTGATAATATTTTCTCATATAAGTGACACGGTGTGGTGAAAATCTCTCGTCTCCATGTGCAGAACAAAGAAGGCGATGCCCATGCAGATAGACGGGGAGCCGTGGATGCAGCCTCCGTGTACCGTAAGTGTAACGCAGAACAAGATCTGGGGTCTCATTTATCAAACATTGTGTAGAATCCTTACTAAAACCGTACTGAAGCTCAGCAAAAAAAAATGTACTTATGCCAAGTAGGTTTGTGATCTATCAAACATGGAGTACGCACAGCTGCATGCAATCTCCGCTTCATAAATCGGAGACTAACGAGAATGTTTCTCAGCTGCATTTTAGTCACATCTCGCCCTCACCACGCCCACTTACTGCCATAAATGGTCGACGCAAAGTGCCTTGTGGATCTCATGCATATACATAAGCCGGCTGTTGCAGCGCTCCGCCAATGACATGGCGACCGCAGATCAAGGAAGCGCAATTTCACAGAAGCAGAAGTTGAGGTACTTGTGGGCAAGGGCGTCAGTTTGTTTTCAGAATTGCTGGGGACAATAACCATACACTTGAGTGGGGTTTAAAAATTGCTGGGGACAATAAAGTAGGCTAGCACAGGGGTCGGCGGCTCTGGAACCGCATGCGGCTCTTCCATCCTTCTGATGCGGCTCTCTGTGCTTGTGAAATAATGAATGGATATTTAAATAAAAAGCTTTATATTTTACTGCATTAATTTTACATCTGTAAGCTAATTCTAAATGTAAAGATTGTCTGCGTAAACCTGAACAGGTCCAACCCGGTCTTACTGTGAGACCGGGTTGACGCGTCACGCTTGTGCGTAATCATATCGGCGCTTCTGAGCTGCTTTCTGACCTTCCCCACCTACAAAGTTTAATTACAACAATCAAACGTGACAGAGCCTGGATTTGTATTCTGAACAGTCTAAACATGTTTTAAAAAGAAACATAGGACAAAAGTGGCACCTGCTCAGTAAAACCATCAACAGGGTGAAAAATACCAAAAATTGAAGGCAGAGACGGGCTACAACTTCTGGATCCATTTTATATAAATTGTTTTATTGATTATCGTCTAATGAAAGATAATTAAGACGTACATGAGCGATCAGGCGCGTTGCAAGCTTTTCAAAAGTGTGGGGGATGTTGTCTGTGCCTAAAATAATTTCATGTTATTCATCTTGTTAGTTTAATTTCCATAATAGCGGAGCAGGTGAGAATTTTAGACGCGTCACGCACATCTCCGTTTCAAACATGTTTAAACTGTTCAGAATACAAATCTAGGCTCTGTCTCGTTAGACTGGTGTAACTAAAGTTTGTACTGAATGAAACTTTACATTAAACCATGTTGAAAAGTAAAGGATCCGATTAAATAGTTTCCCCCTCATTTACAGTCAGTACAGTGCAGTGCGCACGGCTCTGGGGTTAATCAAGTTTAATTGTAACATTAATGTGTTACTGGACACGCAGGTCTGGTTGGTTAGACCAGTGTTTGAAGTGGAAAACACACACACACACACACACACACACACACACACACACACACACACACACACACACACACACACACACACACACACACACCAATTAAAATAATGCTGATAGCGTGGATAGAAGACAGGTGATGGTTTACGTATTTAAATGATGATCAGGCTGATGTAAAATGTAATCTCCATCCACATCCAGACACAATCATCCTCTATTCTTTCTCTATTTGCTCTGCTTTTGTCTGGGCTGATCAGCTGATGGTGCGCGCGGCACGCCTAGCGGCTGATGCACATTTTACGCATTTGGAGAGGTGGGCTGGACATTTTGCGTTTACTGGAAGTTGGTCCACTTAACGCACGGTTGTAGACTAAATATTAATGACAAATGAATGAAAATTAAATTGTGAGTTTTTACTTCATATTTTAGAAATAAAAATGACGGGGGAAAACATTTATGACGTCTTTTTAAACTAAATTTTCTAGCGCGACCTGCCTGCTTCACTTAAGTCACTGCTTATTAAGGTCCGTCCAAAATTACCGTGGCCCATCCAAAAATGAAAACCTGGCGCCGCGCCAGTTATAAACCTCTGCAAATTGTTGTTCTTCACTTTATCAAACTCAGACTTTGTACAGCTAATGTCAAGATGTAAAATTATGAATTCAGTCGAGCTCTTCCGTCCCTCCCTCTCCTGCTCTCCTGGAAACCCGACATCGGCTGGGAGGTGAAGAAGGAGATGAGGCAAACAGAGAGAGTGCGACGTAAAGAAACCAGACTGGTGTGGAGGTGAGCAAAACAGCTGGAAAAGTGTGGGTGTTGAATCCCCCACGGGTGCGATGCCCCCGGCTGATGTCACCTGTTGTGAGCAGCTCTCTGCTGTCTGAGGGTAGGCCCCGCCCGCAACGCTGCGGCTGCTGCGGTGTTTTCTTTACTGTGGGAAACGGGTAATAATGGCTCTTTGATGGGAACAGGTTGCCGACCCCTGGTATAAGATCTGAGCAGGTAAAACAAAAATCCTCATCAGCAGGCTTTTTTGAAAGTGGGGGGGGACACAGCTGCCGATCACGAATTTTGCCGGGGACATGTCCCCGGCGTCCCCGGTTAAAATGACGCCTATGCTTGTGGGTGAGGTGGAGAAATGAAAGGAAGTGCTTTTGCAAAACAAATTAGAGAAAATCCACGGAGTGGCACAGCGTTGCTGAAGCCGTCAATGTTGAGTTCTTCAGAAAGATCTGTGGCGGATATAAAAAAATCATCCAATCAGGATTCGATCCCCAGACTCCCGGGTGAAAGTCACACACACTAACCAGTCACTCAAAGGGAAACCGCCCATGTCCAAGTAGGCAGGGCGCATGATCAATCAGGTCACAGTGACAGGACACACACTGTCACAGACGCATGACACTATCTGTCCCCTTGCTGATATTCTGTATTCCGTATTCTGCGCTTCAGGCTGTGTGTGTGTGTGTGTGTGTGTGTGTGTGTATGCGCATGTGGGGGGTCTTGTTCTGTGTGTGTATGAAGCAGTACAAGTGATAATGCTGCAGGGTTTCATCATTTTATCCTTTCCAGTAGCAGCACTGCAGGTGGTCTCCATGTCCAAAATGTGCATAAGCCAGGTCCTTAGTCAACTTAAAGTTTTTCCACTAAGTTTTCTTTCATAAATCCCAAAGTTTGCGTGGAAAGTTGCTTACGCAGTTTTCCGACCCCGTTTTGTATGTGAACAAGCTTTATAAATGAGGCCCCTGGACTTTGATGTTGTTAATTTCCTTCATAGAATACCATCATGGATTCCTGGTTGCTTTTATTTGAATCAACTTGATTGCCCATGCAAATATTTGCTTTGAAACAGTCGTTGACTGGACAAAGCTATGGAACACATTTTATGAAAGTCAAAGTTGGATTCAGAGGAACTTTATGAGCCGTCAACATGATGTAATGGAAAGCTTTATGAATGACCTAGACTTGGAGAAAAGGGGATTCATTCTGATTGGATTGACATGCCACCCATGAAGAAAAGTAAATGAGGGCAGCGGAAGAGTTGTGTTGCTGTTATATATTGTTTTATATTATAATATCGTACATGTTAATGAGTAAGATTCCTAATCCTCATTTACCAAAACCTACTCGACTAATTATAAACCTCTCGCCTCTCAAAATTTAAAATCACGAGGCGCTTCACAAGAATGAAGATAAAATAAAAATATAAAATAATGTAAAACTTAAAATTGTGATTAAAAAAGTGGGGAAAGAAAAAAAAGAAAATGAATTAAAAAGTGACAATAATACGAGATTGTAACTGGGAGACTACCGTAAGAGGACTGCAGACAGAAGCAAGGCTTACGGGAGAAGGTTTGTAGAGAAGTTTGAAAAAGTGATTAGTGACTGCAGCAACTCCAAGCACAGGCGCCATCTTGTTATCCACCAGAAGCGGAAAAAGAGAGACAGTTAAGCAATGTCCACATGATGTTTGGAAACAGACTTGTTTTAGGATCGCATTAAATTCCACTTTAATTGTGGCCTTTGTTAGGACTAGCCGTTAGCTCATCAATCTAGTCAAGCCTTATCTTTATTTCTCTAAACTGAAGAACTGAGAAAAATTAAGAAGTTTTAGATCAGAGCTATCAATTTAGTGTGAAAACAAAACGTTTAGAATAGACCAGAAGCTACATTTATAAAGCCTGTAAATGCTGTTGAGTCATCTGCCTTCCGTCTGTATAACTAAAATGGTCAGGACACCCCTACCCACCCTTACCCAAACTCTAAATATTTCTAATTAACAAACACTCTAGACAAATGCATTAACTCTATTCTCTAAACTATTTCTAGATCCACATTACTCACAAGAACCAGGCTAACATGCTAATGGCTCCTCCAACCAAAGCGTCTGGCTTCTTTCACCTCAAGTAAAAACTCCGCCCCGAGTTCCAGTCTGCAGGAGGCTCACCGCTGAGTATTTCAGTCCAACTCTGAACATGAAACTATGTTTTATTGTGAGTGTGTCCTTTACATTATTCCTCTTGATCGGCTTTTAAACAACCATTTGAATGGTTACTTGAACAGAACTGAAATTACAAATATCTGCTATTGTACTGAAAATGCAGAAAATATTGCATTACCAAGTAATTTTAGATTTAGTGTCTGTAGTTGATGTTGTTCTGTGGCGACTCATGTTTACAGTCGTGTGTTGTCAAGTTTCATCCTTGGTGCAGCTCGCATTTCGCCCTGATCGCTGACATTGAACCAGCCGTTTGTCTTTAACCCTCAGTGTTTTTCCATATGAAAATATAGATACTAATTCTAGTATTTAAAAAAATTAACTTTTTGAATATCTATCTCAAAACCTAGCTTGTTTTGATGTTTAATGTTGCTTTACAACCTGATAAATGCGTTTTAACATAATATACTCTAAACAGTAATTTTAAAAACCTCTTGGATTGTGTTATTGTGTAAAATGTGATATTTTTTATGTTCTTTCTTTTAAAAAGATATAATATTGATAATGAGCTCATGCCAAATGTAGTAGAAATGAACCAAAACTGCCATTTGTGTTTCATCTTTTAGTGATTTGCATTACTTTTCCCAGAAGTCCTCATGTTAATTTTAAGGTACTTGTGTTTTCACGTATCGTTCTATTGTGAAACTGTGTTTCTGTCATGTGGATGGCCATCCTCTACTTGTTTTCCTCTTTTAAATGAACTTCATGCAATATTACAAAACCTCCAATTAGCCAGGTAAAGCCAGGTAGACTGGTATTGTGATCTGATTCTGACCTATAAACGCATCCTTATTTCTTTCTGTCATAAAATTTTATTTTGACTCTGATTTGTGTCAGATTTTTTTATACATTTTTATAGCTGAGAATGTGGCAGATGTGATTTGACTTCAGTATTTTGTGCTTATATGTTAATAAAAAAACACATTTTTCTTCCACTTAGCTTTCTATGAACATGCACTCTGACCAAGCAGCAGTGGAACACTGAAAAAAACATTTTTAATGATTTCTGATTATAATGGGTCACTGAGTTTTCATGCAAGTTGAAGATGAAAATAGTCTCCTACTCCTAACTCCTGCATTAGCTTCTGATAAAAAATAGACGAAACTCTAAGATTAGAAAATCCCGACTGTCTACATCACACTGTCACTTAACATTCATGGACTCACCCATTTTGACTCTCAGCGGGGAAGGCTGTTGTTGGTTTCGCGTCCAGGAATCAGCAAAGGACATCCCAGCCAGTAGAAGCTAACTGTTAGCATTAGCAGCTCCACCACATGGCAGAATTCCTCCAGGCTTGTGTTTTTTGTAGAGATAAAACATCAACGTTGCAAAGCAGACAGTCAGTGGGAGAGTCGTGTTGCTGCTATCCAATCTGAGGTGAGTTTTCCAAATATCAGGAAACAAAGAGTCCAAAGCCTGCCGTCTGAAGTTAGTTTGTCCTCCAGGTGACTTCCTGGTTCAGGCGCATCTGTGTGGTTTTTCCACCGAATACGACTTACAAGACATTCATTCCTACTAGAGACTCCTGCAAATGCATTAATTAAATTAGTGTTCGACACCTTTAAGCAATAACTTTTTGGGGCTTCCCTTCCGTGTGGAGAGTGTCAGCTCTGTCTTCTAGACATGGATCCTGTCAGTGGTCTTCCCCATGATTGTGAAGCTGACAACCCAGACTGAGACCATTTAGAGCTTTCCAATCCTGGTCCTTATCTTTTTTTTTTTTGTAGATGTACCTGTATAGACATGTGTTGGCTGCAGTGGCCATCTTTAATTGAAGACTTATTCAGTAATAGATCTACATTGCAATGTTTACTTAATGAAAAGCTTAAGGCGGTTTAAGACTCCAAACGGTGGCACAGCCACCTGGGAGAGAGCAGGTGGTAATGTGTTCAGCAGTTTCAGATATCACAATAAATGTTAGCAACCAAATTATGTGCATCGTAGTTAAGTTGACGAACTGTACATCAGAAGGCTCATGAATAAAAATGATCTCACCACGTTTCACAGAAAGATGAATCTCCACATCAGCAGCACAGCAATGATTGTTATCACAATGCTTTAAAAAGCAAAGCATTGTGTCTGTTACAACCCCGACATGTGCTGTTAAAATGCGAAGGAAGGGGGTAACATAAGAAACATGACAATGGATTAAAAATGGGTTTAACTGCCATAAAAGGTTTTAAAACAGGCGAGCACACAGATGGAAAGTATTATTAAAATAATGCCAAACAAAACCAAGACTAAAAGGTTAACATTTAAAGGACAAATTATCAACATTAAAACCCCTGGTTAAAACTTTGTCAAAAGTTTTACCGGACTAGAAGGAGTTTTTCTTTAAATCTCAAAGTTGATAACAAAAACCGACGTACTATGAAAACACTGCGCGTTTTAAAATCCCAAAGTCGGTAAACTACGATGTTAACCTTAAAAACAATACATAAACCAAAACGATCACATTGATCTTCTGAAACACACAAAAGGGGTTTAAAACAAAGCATAAGGCCTGGAGAACAGCAAAACCCCGAGAATGCTGGATGGCACAGCCTTTTCTCCCAGATGTTGTTCATTAGTGGGACTCAGGTCAGCTGTGCTCATCAGCAGCCGGGAGGAGAGGAGGAAGAGGGGCGGAGTCTGGGCTGATCACCAGGGCTGGGTGATCCTGGCTCCTGGATCTGAAGAGGCCAGGCTGGTGGTCCTAACAGTGTCAAATGTTCATCATGCAGGTGCACATTTTACACTAAACCAATTCACTTTCAGGAGACTGTAATCAAAGTATGTCTGGCTACACTTGTTACAACATGATCCTTTCTTAACCATGTGATAGAGCTAATTAAACGCTGCAATGTTGTGAATGTGAATCTGCACTTCCTCACATATGCAATGAGTGTTCTAGTGTGACGGAAAGTGAAAAGGAGATTGGATGTCCTGTTTGATACACATACGCATGCTTTAAAGAGCGTTAGGCTCAAACCTCTGTAATAGTCTCTTGTAACTTCAGGCTGCCTGGGCAGATCGCAGCTCTCAGCTAAAAGAAACACCGCTTCCTTTCTTTACCCTTTTGGCCCGCGTACAAAAGGGTCTCCTGAGAGGCTTCAGGACATGTTAGTTTGTCTGGTTGTTGTGGAAATGTTATGACATAATGGGTATTAGGTGAAGCTTAAACTGATGCTGACAAATGAATGTCAGCAGCTGAAGTGGTGACATCCATACTGGGGATTCTCTAATGATGACATTTCAGCACCGATGGCATCTCCCATCTCCAGATGGGTGTAGTCGTCATATTCTGAGAGACAGAGAAGAGATCTTAGTTTCTAGTAGGCTACATTTCATGACATGACTTCTCGGTCATTTTAAAGCCCCTTAACCTTTTCTTATTCTGGTAGAGCTGCGTGTAAGTAGACCGGATCACATGGGCTAACAATTGTGGAAGTCATAACCCACTACCAGACTCAATCAATAGTGAAGTAAATGTGATGGCTTTCACTCAGCAGTAACTTCACTCTAGCAGCAACAGTAATACCATACTTCTATGAGCAAAGATGCTCTTATAGAAAGAGATGGGAATAAAAATTTAAATGAAACAACGTCTTTATTTGTTGCATTGCATTAGCATTGCAATGCATGTCTTAGCTGCAACACACACACACACACACACACACACACACACACACACACACACACACCTATAATCTACTGTACTAAAGAGAAAGCATTTATTAATTGAATTTTTTTTTGTGATTTGGAAAATATTTAGACATATAACCATTGTAAAACGTGTTCCTATATTCCAGCAAATGTGCAGCTAAGGACCTTGTTGGATGTGCGCCATGATAAATATTTCTCCAGTACTGACTGATATTCATTTTTACAATACGCCATCCTGCTTAAAATGTCTTACATTAATGTAATCAAGATGTTTCCTATCATTTGGGGTCATTATAAAAGATGAGGAAGACTATTTTTAGAAAAGATAATGGCACAAAACACACACGCGTGTGTGTGTGTGTGTGTGTGTGTGTGTGTGTGTGTGTGTGTGTGTGTTCATATTGCTTTGGTTATATCTGTCTTTCTCTCTAAAATGCGATAAAAGACATCAAACTTAGAAAACTACCCCAAAACGTTGATTTTCCTGCTCAGTCCTCTGATAACACGCCAAACTGTCTAAAACGTGCATTAAGATTTACATTTCCATTCACAAAAACGTCTGTAACTGAAAAATTGAGCTATTTTTAGCCTTTATCATTCAATAATAGCCCCACGTGAACGCCTGTGGTTATTTTTAGAATAACGTACATTCTCGGCTCCTGCGTCAATGGAATCCCGAGCGTGCGTCAGACGGAATAACGTCTAAGCGTCACGCGTTCACCTGATTGGCTGCTAATCCGGAACGTTTCACCATGTTTGGGCATAGGCCCGCCCTTTTTGTTGACGAGGTCATAATAAAACAAGAGTGTGTGAAGCCGTCTGCGTTGGTCTGACCCAGTGAGTGTGTGTGGATGTGTTTGAGTGGGTGTGTGTGCCGAAAGCAGCTGGAGGAGCTGAATTCATCCGTTTCTCTGCTTTGGAATTAATTAAAAACTTCAAGATTCGGATTTTCTCATGCAACAGGTGAGTTACAGTCAGTTGTCTGAGACAGGAGAGGTGTAGTGTTACAGATGTTTATTCCGGCAATCAAACGCAACACAAACCTGAAACACCAAGGTATTCTAAGTTATTGTTGAAACTGTTTAATATAGAAGGGATGTGTAAATAGTGGTGTCATTTCCAAGGCTAAAGCTATAGGTTTAGCTGAAAGTTTATTCATTGAAATGTAATAAAAAGGCTACTCACCAGTCAGTGAAGCAAATAATTGTATTTAAGCAACAATAAGACTGTCTTGGGGTTAAGGCTGGTTCTTTATTCATGTCCATCTCAACTGTATGTGTGCATTTGCCAAATTATGCCAGTTGCCAAATACAGAAGTATTTGTAAAGGCACAATCTTCATATGTTATTCAGATTCTCTTCTTAGTGTAGTTTGGATTGATGTGGTATAAAAATAAGTACTTATCTTAGCTTATCTTTCAGAATTTGTTGCGTTAACAGTCACTTACCCTTAAAAAGGTAAAAACAAACACCATACTGCTGCTGTTAGCTTTAGTTATGGTGTTTTAATGTGACTTCTATAGTAGAGAAAATAGGTTTGGGCTGGATAAGACACGTGGAGCATGTCATTTACTAAATGTAAAAGCAAAAAAATATTTATCACATTAAGAAAACTTTATTTTGATAACAGAGTTAAAGTTTTATTCTGAAAGCGACAGATTTTTATCGGTTGTGCTTCACTTGTGAAATGTTGAAGTGAGCACACAAGTGGATACACGCCCCTCCACACACACACACACACACACACACACACACACACACACACACACACACACACACACACACACACGTGCTTCATCACCCTTGCCATTGCAGCTGGCATTCATCCAACCCTGAAACACAATCTGAAGCACACTGTGGCACAGCCGCTGTGGAAGAGGGTTGTCCTCCACTGAAGGAGGTTTTCAAAGCATTAACAGCCAGTAACACAATATCTGACAATATCTGAGCGCTCCACTGGACCACCCTCTGCATTTTCCAACCAGGACCGACGGGGCCTGAAGCGAGAGAAATGGCATGCGGGGTGAAATGAGACCGAGCACATTCAGGGTGCTAACATTGGCCACTGTTTGCATGGTTACAGAGGAAGAAACTGTTTTATTTATTGTGACAAGAAAGTCATAACCTTAAATGTCATGTAGAAATTTGTCAGGTTGCATCAAACTGAAATTACATTTTTTTTTAAAGAAGCATGGATTAACTTTCCTTTTATAATGCATCTGTCCTTGTTTATTACTGCAGTAATATTTGACCTGCATGGTGAATTTCTTCAACTCTCTTTTTCAGCAATGCCCTGTGTACAAACCCAGCTTGCATCTCTGCCCCACGACAACTACTTCAGCTCTGAGCTCTTGAATCCAGACCTCAGTGCCACACTGGTGATGGAAATCACTGGCCAGAAGGACCAGTTTTCCACATCGTCCCTGCCCAGCATCAACACCCTTGTTGGAAATGGTTACACCAGGGAGTTTGATGCTTACACCTGCAAGATCACCACCTCCCCTCCCACCTCTGCTGTGTCTTTCAGCCACGCTGCAGCAGCTGAGAGCTCCAGCACACAGATGCAGAACCAAGCCTTCAAGCTGGACGACCTCCAGGTGTACGGCTGCTACCCAGGATCTTTCGCTCTCAGCTGTCTAGAAGAAACACTCTCGTCATGTGGCTCTGACTACTATGGAAGCCCCATCTATGGAACTGCTTCTCCTCCAACGTCAGGCTTTCAAACAGAGTCTGCACCTGTCTGGGATTCCCCTTTCAGCCCCTTTCCCCCGGCCCTCCAGACCTCTGTGGATAAGAACAGCATGGCTCAGCAGCAACTCTCATTTTTTACAGTCAACCCTGCACAGGATCAATATTCTCCTTTGGGACAGCACCAGGATGCCCCCAGTGGACAAGATGATCCGTTCTTCCTGTCATCTCAGCAGCATTTACCCCCAGTTCATTGCCCCTCCATGTCTATGGAACAGGGACCACAGGAAAGCCCCAGAATATTAGAAGGGGCCATGATGTCTCCTAAAAGCACAGGCTTAGGATCCAGCGAGGGTCGCTGTGCAGTTTGTGGTGATAACGCATCCTGTCAGCACTATGGAGTCCGCACTTGTGAGGGATGCAAAGGATTCTTCAAGGTAAAAAAAAAAATGCAGATTTACATTTTAAAGGGAAAAGTAGAACATTTCTATTAAATCCAACTGAAATTAGCACTAAATCATAATTATATCATCATGCATCTTTAAAAGTCTGTACTAATATTATATATATGTAGATATTTTCACTTCTTCAATATCTTTATTGATCCAAACCTAAAAAAAGAATCAGGTATTGTTTGAAATTGAATGTTTAGTTACTATTTGATGAGGAAGTATTCACAGATGTAGGTTAAAACAGAGCAAAAGCTTTTGCTTTTAAAAAAAGAGCTTAAAGGTCAGATTTGTGTTTATTGTCTCAGGGTTATTATGCATCGTTGTGCATTCAACTCTTTTTCTCTGTTTTCCAGCGAACTGTCCAGAAAAATGCAAAGTACGTGTGCCTTACCAATAAAGACTGCCCAGTGGACAAGAGGAGGAGAAACCGATGCCAGTTCTGTCGTTTCCAGAAATGTCTTGCTGTGGGAATGGTCAAAGAAGGTGAGCAAATCTTAAAGCATTCAAGAGTTTGTGTTTGATGACAACAGACTCAGGATGTCAGGACAGTGATGGGAAACCAATATTTAGCAGCAAACCTGATTTTTACTGTCTAGTTGGGCAAAAAGTGGACTGAAACTGGTACAGAGGTAGTTTAATTAATGTTCACACAATTATGTTGGTATCCTAGTTGTTCGTACAGACAGCCTGAAAGGTCGCAGAGGTCGCCTGCCCTCCAAACCCAAAACTGTGACCGAGGCTTCCTCCACCACTCCCAGTGTGAACGTCATAGCTTCTCTTGTCAAGGCTCACTTAGACTCCGAGCCAAGCAACGAGAAGCTCGACTTCTCCAAGGTGAGCTCGCAGTCTGCTGTACTCGATGTTGGTTCGACCGGTCCAGCGATGAAGGGCCAAAGCTGTGAAGCGTCGTTAACTCTTCTTGGTTTTTCTTCACAGTTCCAGGAGAAAATTAATCATTTGAAAGAAAAAGAGGATGCCGGTGATATCCAGCAGTTCTACGAGCTGCTGACCGGTGCCTTGGACATAATATGGAGCTGGGCTCAAGCTATCCCAGGATTCACAGATTTCTGCATGGAGGACCAGGAGCTGCTCCTTGAGTCTGCTTTTGTGGAGCTCTTCATCCTTCGCCTGGCCTACAGGTTCGCAAGAATAGTTAAAAAAGAGTATTTACCTGCAATAGTGTGCACCTTTACGCACTATGATGACTCTAATGGTTCCTAACTGTTCAGGTCAAAACCAGAGGAGGACAAGCTGATCTTCTGCAATGGCGCCGTCCTGCACAGAAAGCAGTGTGTCCACAGCTTTGGTGGCTGGATCGACTCCATCATGGAGTTTTCTTCTAGTCTTCATCGCATGAACTTGGACGTCTCCCTGTTTGCGTGTCTTTCAGCACTTGTCATCATCACCGGTAAGGAGCTTTATTCATTTTCTTAGTTTTTTTGTTTTTTTGTGATGTTTGTATTTACGTTTCTGATCTTTGGCACGCAGACCGCCATGGCCTCAAAGAGTCCAGACGAGTGGAGGACTTTCAGAGTAATCTCATTACTTCTCTGCGGGAACACATGTGTGGGAGTGGATCAGAACCAAGCCGGACACACCCCAACTATATTTCCCGTCTACTGAGCAAACTCCCCGAGCTGAGGACTCTGTGCACTCAGGGACGGCAGCGCATCTTCTACTTGAAACTGGAGGACCTGGTCCCTCCTCCACCGATAGTGGAGAAAATTTTTATGGATTCGCTGCCATTCTGAACACAAAGCGACCTGTGACATTTAAACGTGTTTATGATGAACTCTAACCAGCCAGAAAGCACACAGACTTTTGGACTGATGCGTCTTCTGAGACATCTACTGAAAAAAACGTTGTTTTTATTTGTTGCTTTAAGTTTGAGGATTTACCGCAAAATGCTCTTTAGCACTACAAGAGAGTGCTGAACTCGGCATTTCAGGACTTTATCTTTTCTACATATAATGTGTGCAATTGTAAAATGACTGTTGGTGTGCTTGATGTGTGAATGTTGTCTAGCTCTGCAGCTTCAAAGATGTGAATCCTTTGGCAAAAATGATGCAGCGCTCCAGAAAGCTTTAAGAAAAACACTAATTTCTTTAAAAGCATGGCTTCAAAGCGCCTTAACAGAAGCTAAGAAAGTGGAATATTTCAGGAGAAAATGGGCAGAATCTCATTTTTCATTCATGTTTGCTGATGTCTTTCTAACACAAAACATACGTATGATCTAATGTTGGGCTCCTGTGGAAGGTCGTGGACCAAAGTTTAGCAAAGCTTTATTTTGTTGCAAACCTTGTTGCCTTAAGCAGAAGAAAACCAATTCTGTACTGTAATTCTGAAGCAGCTTGCAAAAAAGTAATGCTGGTTAAACTCTTCTCTGTAAAAACACAACTTTTGTGCCTTTTTAAATTTAAACAGGACCTGCTGAACAAAAATACACAGTGCCTTTTAAAAAGACTTTGTCAATGAACCACATTAGCTGAGTGAATTTTCATTCCGAACGGCATAAGATTGAATTGTTCAGAGATCATTTTTATTTCAGAACCACTGTTCTTTTTTATTTAAAGTTCCTAAAGGACATGTTTACTCTGCTGTGCACTGACCTGTGAGAATCAAGTCCTTTTCTCTCACTTCAGTGACTGACACACACACATCCTTGGATCCAAACAGATCTAAGCAGATAGTTGCCTCTTCTCACCACAAAAACATAGAGCACGCCTTTATTTTGTAGGAAACACAAAAACACAACAAGCAAACACTTCTGACTTAACTTTTTCTGTCTTCCTCTCCTTCATTGTGTGTTTATTTTGTTTTCATGCTAACTGAAAATGAAACGTTAGAAAATGAAATTAAGATCTGATGATGGCGATGAGCAGCTACACCTTTTTTCTCTTGCTGTATGTTCTCTGTTTTGGAGCCTTTTGACATATTTTGTTTTAAAAACACTAAAACACTTGATATTAAAGTTTTTTTTAATGCATCTTTAACAGATTCTACTTTTGTTTTTGCATTTATTGTTAATATTTATTGATAAGTTGTTATATGATTGTAATGATCAGCTGGGTTCTCTCCCTTTGCTGCATAGTGAAATGCAAATCATAAATTTGTTGCATTTGCATTTCAAAGTGAAATAACAATACATGATATGAGCATTTTATTGTCCTTTTTTCCACAGGTTTTAGGAGAATTACCTAACCCTTGGGCAAGAAGTTTTATAAATTTGATTACACTCACTTTTAATAAAAAATCTAAATAGGTTTGCACAAATCTCTGAACCAGTCATAAAGACATCACTTAATAGGAAGTTAGGTTTAAAGACCAAAATCACCAGTAACATGTTTACTAAATATTCTTGAACACCAATTAATCATACCTGAAAGTAATTTTGACCATCTAAATGATAGATGCCATTTTGTCAAGCTTAAAGGCACAGTCGATAAATGCTGTTGATAGTTTTGCTTTTCTGATCATTTTTAATCTTTTACTGGCTGTCATTTTCTGTCAGCAGGCCAAGCCAGGCCAATAAGCTAAAGTTAACTTGAACAGCATTACTACTGTGTGTAATTTAAAAAAAAAAACTCATTTTGGTTCCAAAACTGTTCAGACGATCACATTTGTGAATGATGGAACTATTCTATGGCTAAAATGTAACTTTTTACTTTATGCAGTCGTGCCTAAGAAGTAACTTTGGAAAAATATTTGAGATATTTTATGGTAAAATGTCAGAGTACGGCACAAATGCTATGCAATTACTAGTAAATAATATGCTAATAACTGCAGAATGCACGATGCAAACTATCACGAGATGCTGAGTGAATGAAACATTAAAGGCCTCAATGAGGAGCTTTATAGACTCATTGTCGCATAACGATGTGATAAATTGTGATGCTGCAGAGGTCTTTTCTCCCGAGTCTGTCATTTTTGTCGTACATGGCGTTAATGTTGGCAACATTCTTAATCAGAGGAAGAAGACACCATGCCACTCTCAGTCACAGCAGACTGCACCACTGACGGCATGCAGTCACTTGACATCTGATCATGCTGTACACCAAGTCCTGGTCATCTGGGGTTTGGCTCTGGCATACAGAGTGGAAAGAAAGGGACACAAGTACAGAGAAGGAGGCAGACTGAAGGCTTGTCTCTACTGAGATGTTTAACAAAGTGTCTAGCACGCTATAAAAGTCAGATTTCATGGAGCGAATGAATGAGTCTGGTTTTGTTTGGTAAATTTGGATAAATGCAACAGGAGATAAGTGTTTGTATTTAATACAATATATTTTATCTAGTTCCAATACTTTGTAGATCCCTTTAGGCTGTCACGCTTTATTCTTTATGGTCACATATCCACAGCGGGTCAGGCATGTTGGCCTTTGCATATTTCAAACCCAAACTCAAAATACACCCTCATGGTAACATATCTCATGTTTTCAGATGCGGTGTTACCATCTTCTTCCAAAAGTAGAAAGGTACCATCTGGAGCAGCCATTGGCTTCATGACTTTTGACCCGACATGCAACATTTCTTTCAGGAACACGCTGAGACCCTGCACCCTTCTCACATGTGACAAGTTTTGAAAACTGGGGCAGCATGGGGTCCCGTTGTCATAGTGATCTGTGTACAAACAAGCCATATCATGTGTTTAAAATTTGGCTTTTGCACCTTGCAATAAAAGCAAAACTTAAGAAATCACATCAAGTCACTAACTTGTAGCATTTGCACCTATGTTGGTGATCTTGCCTTGCAGCAAAAAGTTGGTGATTTGCATCCCGCCTGTGTGGCCTTTCTGCTCAGAGATGGGCCCTGTGCGCTCTTCAATTGTGCAATCTTGTCCAGGGGTGCAAGTGTGTAGAGTGTCCCGATTCTCAAGTGTGGAAGTTGAAGAGGACTATTTAAATGAGTCGATCCCTTCAAACTATTTAAAATCATCATATTGCTTGCAGTACAGGGTGAGGATGAGGAGTAGCAACCATTTTTCATTCAAATCTATTAATCAATCCCTTACCAATTCATAGTTACAGTTCTTTTGAACATCTAATTCTTAGTTTTTCTAACTGAGATGGCAAAACTCTAAAACAACTCTTGTTTGTAGTTTTGTATCACCTCTGTATTTTTGGATCAGATCTTGTTTTTCTTTTATCTGATTTGGTGCTAAATACTGATAAGGTCATTGTAGTGGGGGATTGTAACATTTATGTTGACATTGAAAGTGATAGCCTCAATGTAGCCTTCAGTAATATCTTAGACTCAATTGGCCCGGCCTTGCTAGACCGGCGAGGACCCATACTCATAAGCATCCTACCTGTGGATTCGGACGCACCCTTGGTCCGTAAGGCAGACACCTTGTCTACTTTTAAGACTAGACTTCAAATGTTTTTATTTGATAGGGCCTATGGTTAAAATCTGATGTTCCCCCAGGTCAGTGGCGGCTCCAGAAATTTTTTTCTGCAGGTGCCATGAAGGAGCTAGTCTTTTTATTGAAGGTGCTATGAAGGAAGTGGTCATGCTCCAAAACACCTTCAACACTAGCAGATACACATGCATGCACAAAACCTCAACAACACCTGAAACAATCATTAATATACATCATAAACATATGAACAATCGCTGACTTGCCCATGAAATCATGAACACAAACAGCCACACAGAAAACCATCTATAGTGTTGCAAGGTTAGCTAACGTTAGTGTTAGCATTTCCAGCGGCAAAACCCTCGACTGCTGCAACGGTTGAGGGTTGACCCTCTTCATCCAGATCCGTAGGTTTTTGTGGGTCTGAGATCACTTCCAAAGATTCATTAGTTTCTGACAGAACCTGTGGAAATTTGGGCAACAAAAACCACTAGCTCTACCTTTAACATCAATTTCCTGTTTTGGTTTAAGTTTTTACTATCTTTATGATAATTTACTGAATATTTTTGTTTTGTATTTTAAATATTATCACATCCACACGTTAAATTAAAATTAAATTGTAAAAAAAAAAATCTAATATTTACTTGGGGGTGCTATGGGGGTGCAATGACTAATCCAGGGGTAGCTATAGTACCCCCTAGTGCCCCCCCTGGCACCGCCACTGTCCCAGGTTTGGATGAGTGGGGAAATAGAGGGAGATGGAGTGTACAACGGGAAATACCGTTGGTAAAGACAGTTCTCCCTTGTCCTGCCTCCCACATGCATCCATCTAAAAGGCTAGGTTATCTTGTTGTCTCTGTAGTTATGCTGCTATAGGCTTAGACTGCTGGAGGACATTCTGACCACTTTCAACAATCTATTTTCTTCTACCACCACTCTCCAATTTCATTATTTCCTGCTATTTCAGCTGTTAACTTTATTTTCTCTTTAAGTGTTTTTTTTCTCTTCAGTAGAAGCTACAATGGTGTTCTGCTGAGCTGTGGTGGCCTCATGGAAGGGGCCATCGACTGGCACACTGCTGCCAACCACTTAACATTCTCCTTCTCCCGATGATAACATTTTACTTTCTTCGACCTACTACTAGTTCACCCGTTTAATTAATTATAGATTCACTAAGAAAAAGACAATAAAGTTAATCTAACTTCATAAACTGAATATTTACTGAGAAATCACAATGTAGCCATATAAATACTACTTGGTATATATGTTGTTAGTGTATGCGTGTGCGTGTGTGTGTGTGTGTGTGTGTGTGTGTGTGTGTGTGTGTGTGTGTGTCTGTGTGTGTGTGTGTGTGTGTGTGTGTGTGTGTGTGTGTGTGTGTGTGTGTGTGTGTGTGTGTGTGTGTGTGTGTGTGTGTGTGTGCTCTCTGTCTTCTCGATCCCCAGTGAGTCGTGGAGGATGGCTGCTTATACTGAACCAGGATCCTCTGGAGGTTTCTTCCCGTTAAAAGGGAGTTTTCCTCTCCACTGTCGCTACGTGATTGCTTAAGAGGATTGCTGTAAAGACACTGACGCCTGTCAGTGACTCAATGACTTGAGATTACTCTTTCTGTGATTTGGTGATAAATAAGTAAACTACATTTAATTTAATTTAATCGCAGCCGAGTGTGAAGCAGCTGGGATGAGAATCAGCTCCTCTAAATCTGAGATCATGGTCTTGATTCAGAAAAGGGTAGAATGCCTTCTCCGGGTCAGAGATGAGGTCCTGCCCAAAGTGGAGGAGTTTAAGTATCTCGGGGTCTTGTTCACGAGTGAGGGAAAACTGGAGCGTGAGATCAATAGGCAGATTGGTGCTGCATCTGCAGTGATGCGGGCGTTGTACCGGTCTGTCGTGGTGAAGAGAAAGCTGAGTCAGAAGGCAAAGCTCTCAATTTACCGGTCGATCTACGTTCCTACCCTCACCTATGGTCACGAGCTTTGGGTAGTGACCGAAAGAACGAGATCGCGGATACAAGCGGCCAAAATGAGTTTTCTCCGAAGAGTGGCTGGGCTCTCCCTTAGAGATAGGGTGAGAAGCTCGGTCATTCGGGAGGGGCTCGGAGTAGACCCGCTGCTCCTCCACATCGAGAGGAGCCAGTTGAGATGGCTCGCGTATCTGGTCAGGATGCCTCCTGGACGCCTCCCTGGTGAGGTTTTCCGGGCACGTCCAACCGGGAGGAGACCTAAAGGTAGACCCAGGACACGGTGGAGGGACTATGTCTCTCACCTGGCCAGGGAACGCCTTGGGATTCCCCCGGAGGAGCTGGTCCAAGTGGCTGGGGAGAGGGAAGTCTGGGCCTCTCGCCTTAGGCTACTGCCCCCGTGACCCGACTCCGGCTAAGCGGAAGAAAATGGATGGATGGATGGATGGATGGATGGATGGATAATTTAACTGACCATGAGACTTTTGCACCCTTGATCGGCACAGGGTATTACCCGCAATCCATTGCTGAGTGTGAGTTGTCAGAAGAAGGTGGAGCAAAGGCTCAATTGCCTTTTCTGAAAATATGTATTTTCAAATGAAAGTAATTCATTTTAGGTTGATTAACCCTCTGATGCATGAATTATGAAATCTTCAACTATGATTTTTTAACAATTTTTTTCATTCATATTTAGGTGTGAATGAAACAAATTTCAACAAATATTTTTTGTAAAATTTTAAAATTTACAAATACTTTATTACATGTCCACCTCAGTGGACAACGTGCATTCTGAACATGAAATATGTTGGCTTGGCTTACTGAAGTCCAAATGGAGGGGCTCAAATGC